TCAACTATTAAGGAAAATAATTCTACACTATTGGAAAATATCATAAGAGATTATTATTTCCATATCTTCAACAGGATTTAAGTTTCTAACCTTCAGTGTTCTACATTGGTATGGGGTCGTTGGTTTCTTTTTTCCGTTTCCAAGAAAATTTACAATAGATAGCCTTGTCAAGGTGAAAGCCAATTTACGTATGGCTAGCACACAATAAAGTAAGACTATGTTATTGGCATTTTTTATTGTTACAGAGATGGTTTAGGGATTTGATTTGTATTAATTTTGGAATGGTTTCCTTAATATCTAGATTGTACATAGCAGAGAATTAGGCTGTAAATAAGTTGGAAATATTTACATGTATAGCATTTAGGCGTTAGAAATCTGGCATTCATTATGTAAACCTTTTCTATATAATGAGAGGAAACCCTATGGAAAGGGCATTCAGACCAATTTGACATGGTATTAGAGCTGGTACTCTGATTATCGTTTCTATGGTCTCAATCTTTAAGAAGTTTTCTGAGTTGCGACGATAGGAATTTTTTTTCCTCCTCTGTCCGTGCACGTTGGTGAGGTTCTGAGATTGTGGTTGTCGCCGAGTGTTTTCCCACACGTTTGTAGGGTTCCGAGTTGGGAGCTCTTCACCTTGGTGGTTGTCGACGTCCTTTGGGAGTTGCGAGTGCAGTTTTTTGTGCCGATCGGCAGTTTCTGTGGTGGTTGACAGCGTCTGTGGGTGGCTGTGAGGTGGTCGGCCATTTCTGTGGGTAGATACGTGGTGGTTGGTAGTTTCTGTGGTGGTCGGCAGGTTCGACTCCTCCTGGTGGTGTAGCTGATGACGGCACTTTCTCGTGGGCAAGCATCTCTAGTGGTGGGTCTATTATTTGGGCTCTCTGTTTGGGCTTGCCGATTATTCTGTTGTGGCTGTGAAATTTTCTGGTTGGACTTAGTGCTATTTTAAGTGGTTTTTCATCATGTCTCTTGATAATACTATTGTTCGATTTACTAGAAAGAATTTTTCTACATGGGCATTTCAATTTAAAATGTTCTTGAAAGGGAAAGAATTATCAAATCATATTGATAGTTCTGTCTGAGTTCCCACTGATGAAAAGGAATTTGCCCAATGGGAGGTCAAGGATGCTAAGGTGATCTCTTGGCTATTGGGCACGATTGAGCCCCATCTTATCACCAATCTTCGGTGTTTTACTACGGCTCAAGCTATGTGAGACTACCTGTATCGTATTCATCACTAAGACCACAACACTCGGAAATTCCAATTGGAATTGGAAATTAGCAATTACACTCGAGGTAATTTGACCAAGGTTTAAAAAGGCAAAACTAAGTACTGAGGCGATATTTCTTTATGAGGCGAGGCGTAAGCTTCGAGGCAGATTGAAGCGTAAGCCTCACAAAAAAAAAAAAAAAAAATTCTAAGAAAGAATTATAAAATAATAAAAAAATACAGAAAAACCAAAGTTTGAGATATAGTAAATAGGAACCAAGCTCGACCATATCTTCAAACTGTTGTTGTGATAGGTGTCTTTTCATGTTGCCAGCATTCATATACTCCGTTTTTGGTCCTCTAATTTCTGGCTGCCGTTTAGTTTTCTAGGTATTTATTATTTTGTTTGGGCCCAAAATGCCTTTTTAAATGGGCCATTTTCATTTTTAAGAAGGGTCTTTCTAATTTCTTTTCATACAATTGAAAAATCAAATTTTAAATGAGGCGCACCTTGAGGCGTGAGCCTCAAATTTAGATGCGTGAGCCTCATTTTTAGCCTAAAAAATACCACCTCGAAGCATACTACATGCGCCTCACTACCGCCTTTTTAAACCATGAATTTGACTATTGAGCAATTTTATTCTGGTTTTATTAATCTTTGGAGCGAGTATTCTGCTATTGTTCATGCTAAGGTTCCCACCGCGGCATTCACGGCTCTTCAAGCGGTTCATGCTGAGAGTCAACGTGATCAATTTTTGTTGAAGCTTTGACCTGAATTTGAGCCTGTTCGAGCCGGTTTATTGAACTGTAATCCGGTTCCTTCCTTGGATATTTGCTTGGGAGATTTATTGCATGAAGAACAGCGGTTATCCACTCAGATGGGTATTCAGACACTTCTGAGGTCTTTTCTGAGGCTGTGAATGTAGCCTATGCAGCACAAAGGAAAGGGAGGAACAAGTTGCAGTGTTTCAGTTGCAAGGAGTTCAATCACATTGCTCATTACTGTCCGAAGAAAGTTTGTAATTACTGCAAGAATGAGGGTCATATTATCAAAGACTGTCGCGTGCGGCCTCAGAATTGTCAATCCCAAGCCTTTCAAGTTGCTGTTCATCCCTCGTCTTCTTCTGCGCCCCCCACTGTAAGCTATGAGTCATCTATTCTCACACCTGCCATGGTCCAACAGATGATTGTATATGTGCTTTTACGGCTTTAGGCCTACAAGGTACTGATCCTACCTCCACTTCTTCTTGGATTGTTGATTCGGGTGCCTCTAATCATATGACTGGTAGTGCGACGGGTCTCCATGGTGTTCGTAATTATGGCGGCACACAAACTATTCAGATTGCTGATGGCAGTACACTTCCTATTACTGCTGTTAGTACTTTGGGTTCTTCATTTCGAAATGTTTTTGTCTCTCCTGGATTATCTACCAATTTGATTTCTGTTGGACAATTGGTGGATAATAACTGTGATGTTCATTTCTCTTGTGGTGGTTGTCTTGTGCAGGATCGGGTGTCGGGGATGGTGATCGCGAAGGGGCCTAAAGTGGGACGTCTATTTCCTTTACAGTTTTCTATTCCTAATGTTATTTCTTTTGCTTGTAAGGCTACTGCCAATAATAATGAAGTATGGCATAAGAAATTGGGTCATCCTAATTCTGTTGTCTTAACTCATCTTTTGAAACATGGTTTTTTTGGGCAATAACGGTTCATTTTCTTCATCTCCTATATCTTTTGATTGTGCTACTTTTCGTCTTGGTAAAAGTAAAACATTACCTTTTCCTGCGCATGGTAATCGTGCTTATACTTGCTTTAAAATTGCGCGTACTGATGTTTGGGGTGTCAGTCCTATTATTTCTCACGGTCAATATCGTTATTTTGTGACGTTTATCGTTGATTATAGTCGATTTACTAGGATCTATTTTCTTCGTTCTAAAGCTGGCGTGTTCTCTGTTTTTCAAAAAATTGTTGCGCTTGTCGAGACACAGTTCAGTACTTGTATCAAAACCTTATGCTCCGACTCTGGGGGGAATACACGTCTCATTCCTTTCAGACTTATCTTCAGCAAAAAGGGATTATTTCCCAGCGTTCTTGTCCTTATACCCCTCAACAAAATGGAGTCACTGAGAGTAAGAATCGTCTTGTCTTAGATGTCGTTCGTACTTTGCTGATTGATTCGTCTGTACCTTCTAAGTTCTGGGTAGAAGCTTTATCTACTGTTGTTTATTTGATCAATCGTTTGCCTACTGCTACTCTAAATTATGATTCTCCCTATTTTCGATTATTTGGCATATCTCCTGAGTATCAATCCTTTCATACTTCATCTGCCACCTGTTGATGGGCACAAGCTTGCTGCCCAGTCTGACATGTGTGCTTTTATGGGATATAGCCATACTCAGAAAGGATTTGTTTGTTATGATGCTCATGCGAACAAATTTTGGATCTCCTGGAATGTGATTTTCTTTGAAAATCAATATTTCTGATCCTCCTATTACTCTACTACCTGCTTTTGATGATGTGCCTTCTTCTATTGAGCGATTT